TTTTTTTTTTTTTTTTTTTTTTTTTTTTTTTTTTTTTTGTTACATCTACTTTTTACTGCTTCTCTGTGCAAGTTATTTTTTTTTTTTTTTTGTTACATCTACTTTTTACTGCTTCTCTGTGCAAGTTATGCTTGATATTTTTTTGTCTGGTTCTTTCACAAATACATGAAAGCAATGTAAGTGTGTGGGGAGGTGGAAACTTGGGTGTATATTATGCAGGGGACTCCTTTCTCACATAGGTGCAACCGAAACTGCCTACAGTGCTTGGGTTCAGCAAGTGCATGGATCAGGTAACTGCAGGATGGAAGCAGCCMAGRTGCATCTGCTGGGTCATCTCAACASATCTGATGGTTAATTCTTGCTTTGCACCTCATTCATAGCCTCAGYCTATAATCAATGTTCTGTCTACACCTTGAATGGATAAATACTTGGGTGAAAAGTCTTGTGCTGGGATGCCTTTGCTGTACCTGTCTCTTTTAGCCATGTATTAACACACACTGTGGCTTACTAAGAGTCCAAATGTCTGTCCATATGTTTTACTTGCTTTACTGTGTGTCTGGGTCGCACTCTCATTGTACTTCTAAGTACTACAGGTTGTAGCAGGACATGACAAGCTAAATGCAAAGTGTCAAAGTCGGGTGTGAATCCACGTTTACTGATTCTCCCCTGTGCCAGCATGAGGAGATGACTGCCAGCAATCCTGGTGCCAATATTTCATGGTAAAAAACCGAGAGGAAACTTCTGTAGGGGACAGTGTGTTATACAAGATGCTGCCATTTTTTACTCTGAAACATTTTTCTTCTATATTGGTAATTACGTATCACGTAGGCATTTTTATTTATAAGGTCAGGTGCATTCTTCACCTTACAGCAAAGCTCCAGAAGACCCTGATCATCTTCAGGACCTTGTTCTGGACTGAATCAGCCAAAGACACAAGCAGTAGCAGGTGAGGAGGTGGGCTGCTGCCCATTCTGGCATGATCCTTTGGGGGATACATCCCAGCCCTTTCCCTCCACACCAAGGAGCAGGTCTGTTCCCTGGCACAGCCAGACGTGTGCCAGTGGGTGCCATATGAAAACGGCATTCTCCAGACATTTATAGGGAGCTCATTGTGGGTAGATTTTCATGGGGATGGCAGAAGATGTCTCCTTAGAGTTTCTCCTTGCCAAATTTCTTATTCCTTTCCACTGCAAGCAGGTGGCAAATCTCTTCAAAGGAACAGATGGATGTATTTAACATTAACAACTAATTTTCCACAGGCGTGTTCTTGGAAACAAATGATCCTTATTTCCTGAGATGGAGAAAAAAAAAAAATCCAGCCCAGAGCAGACTACAAGTGTGGAAAATCTGAAACTGAACACGTTTGAGTTCGGTAAATGCAAAGCAAATGAAAACAGCAGCTTAGAGTGGAAACTGTTGATCCACCAGAAGCAACAAAATGGCCAATTCTGTCTTCATAAAAGATATTAAAAAGTTATATCGGAGCAATTAATACAACCAGGTCTTTTTGACTAACTCCATTTATGGACAATCCAACAGAAATGAGCTTGGCGTCGTCAGCAGCTTTTTCATGCTTGGGTTGCTGTGATGATCTGCAGCTGTGATGACCAGCAACCCTTTCTGTGGAGAAAATGGAGATGCAAAGTTTCTCTTACAAGAGCAAACTTCATTCAGCTTGTTAAACACAGCAGAAAAAGACCGAGGGGGATATGACTACTCTCTTTACACATCTGGGATGAATAGGATGTTCAAGTGAATTGTCAGTGACAGGCATCAGAGGCCAGTCTCAGATGCTGATTGCTCCAGTAGAATAAAAATAAATTCCTTAAAAGTGAAAATAAACCCCAGAAACAAATCCTGCTATTAAAAAAAAAAAAAAAAGCCTTGACATGACTTATTTGCTGGTTGTTTTAAACAGGCTGGTGTTGTTTTGAGTCTCAGTGCACATGTGACTGTCAGGAGAGTGCACAAAGCAGGAGTCCTGCTGAAGAAATGCAGTAAATTTCCTGACAATGCACAGCCATTGAGCAAGGAACTGCTTCTGGTTTGCTGGGGAGGAAAATTGCCAAGAGACCAATAAGATCTCTGTTATCCTTTTTGTAAACTTTAGTGGAAAAATTGCCTGTCCCCTAAGGTATTTTGTAATGTGGAAATAACTTGAACTTCAGCTGCCTGGCAGGGCTGTGCTGTGTTGTATTTCCCTCCCCGCTGTCATGCTACCTGAAAGCCGCACACTTTTCTGGGGCTGGAAGTTGAGGCGGTATGGCCTTTTCCTTCTGGCACCAAATTTTCTTTCCAGTCACAGTAGAGCTTAAAACTTTATTTATTTGCTGCATCAGAGCYCAGCAGCAAGTGTTGAACTCCCYGACAGGCCCCTGGGGTTCTCTCCTRCATGCCTTGTGCCCCCAGACTTTAGTCTGCCAGATGTGCTGGTCTGTGGGGCCAAGAGAAACGGGCAAGTGAAAAAAAAAAAGACTCCTAGGTTTTTTCAAGGTTTTACTATGTTGCCTATTTTGAGAGTGACAGGTTTTTTTCTCTCTTTATTTTTTTCTCTCTTCTTTTTTTTTCTCATGGATGGCTTGGCATGCATCGCTTCTGGCATAGGATGCTTACTCAGAAAGCCTTTGGTTTTGTGCTGGTCTGGATTTATTTTCCCTAAGTGATGATTTTTCCTGGAGCAGGTTCTGAGCAGTGCTGAGGGTGCCTGGCAGATGGTGCTTCATGATGGTGCTGTCCTGCCATACTCTGGTGCTGTTAATGCACCAAGGCACCTGCTTTTGGGTGTGTCCAAATTCTTCTTCTCCAGCAAGAATTAACAACTAAAATGTCCAGAGGAGAAACTCCCATGGCATGTTTCTGTTTTGACTGAGGTGCTGTTTCCAAACTTGTATGAGGGAAGGTTTTAACCACCCTACAAAGTCTGATGGTTTGAGTCTCTCTACTTCATATGTCTCTGTTTCAGAAAAGGTTGTTGTGCACTTCTGGAACATTACTGCTGTTAAAATACTGAAAACTCTTACACCACAGGCTACAGAAAAATCAGCAGTTTCAACAGCCCAAGCTAAAAACGGAGAAAATTGGGCTGTAGGTGGGAATCAATGGAGATGTCAARGTAAAAGGCCAGTGATAAGGAAATCTCTTCCACTGTGCTACTGAAATCTGGGCATTGACTCGGGTGGACACAGTAAAGCTCGGGAAAAGGCTCTCCAAAAAAAAAAGAAAAAAGATCACGAACACTCAGACAAACCAGACTCTAACATTATCATCAAACTGGGTAAAAAGCAGAGCACTAYCACAGTGAATTTGCATGAGTCTTGACCTTCTTTTCAAGCTTATCTCTCCAGCCTGAATAGATAGAAAAACTTTTTTTTTTTCACCGAAAAAGGAAAAAAAAAATCCTGTGTACTCAGACCAAGGGTTCAGTTGAGTCAATATCTTGTTTCCAACAGTGACCAGCAATAAGTGACCACAAAGAGAAGCAAGCCAGGTACCAATACTTCCCTGCTCTGCTCTCCCAGAACTTCTGGTAATTCTGTGCCAGRAATGGTATTTAATAAGCTTTCACAGACCTCTTTTCTTTGTTGGACTTAAGCTATCGCTCCTGGGACTCATGTGAAAGCCTAACTACAAAAACATCCCACAGGCTCTGCAGTTTAATTGTGATTTACTCAAAGCAGAGCTTCCCTTTGCTTGCAGTTCCATTCAGTGCCCTCCAGTTCCTGTRGGGTGGGAGAGAAGGGATGATCATTGCCTGGTGGGACCCTCCTCAGAGCTCCAATGAGGCTGCACCATCCCAACTCATCATCTCCTCTGACAGGGGAGTGTCCCAGTCTTCCCACCTGAATCCAGAGCTCCATCCCTTGGAAGAAACAAAGGGAAACCATTGAATACCTCGAGTGAACTGCAAAGCTCCTCTGGCTGCTCATCCCAGGAGGATGTCCTGTGCCCTTTGTCCTTGTCCTTGTCCCAGACACCCTGGTCTGAACCCTTGCCTCCTCCTCTCCCATTCCAGTGTATCCCTGCCCTCTATCTCCTCTTATGACAGCAKTCCCTGGAAGTTGTGTAAAAGTCAGATGGACTT